GGAAAATAAAACAAGGAAGCAAATAAAAACGAATGTAACTATCAAGCAACGATGACTACGGGCGTCGGGATCGTATTCGAATGTTTGGGTATATGCTAAGCATGCGAGGATAACGATTATGACTTGTGTTCGGGAATCATCAAGCAACAAAGATAGAGAATTCACCTCTCGGTCTACTAACTCACTACCTACAGAGTAACTCGTCAATCTCTCGATCTATTCAAGTTAACCCTAGATGCATGAAGAACGCTATCATCAATCCTAGATCGATTAACAATATCTCTATGTGAATAATACGATCTATCCTATTGATTTTGATCCGAAACCAACTCATATCTCTATGTAGTTTAGAATCTAAGATAATTGACCAAGGGGTTAGCAAACATCAATCCAATAAAAGCACAAATCAATAGAACCGAAACAAATCAAAACCGAAATCCAAGTTAGGGTTCAAACATACCCAAAACACAAACGAATCCCTAACCCATAGTCGTGGATCTACTCACGGTTCATGGAAAACAATAAAAAGAACAGAGAAAAGGAGAGAAAAAGAAAGGAGAGAAAAGCTCATGTAGATGTGTAGTCTCCACGATCGAATCTTCCTTCTTCTTCCCGAAATCCCGTGAACTCCTATTCTTCTCCCACCAAAAGCTCTCCAAAAGTCTGTATCTAAGTGTTCTCTAAGGTTCTCTGATGTTATAGGACGTGGCTAGGGTTTTTTATAACCCTAGGGCGGCTCCCAAGAGTCATATTCCCATTCTAATGCTGAAAATCGCGAAACAGGGTTTTTGGCTGGATCCGGGCCGATTCCAGGTGGATCCGGACCGGATCTAGATTCCTGGGGTCGAATTCTGCGTTCTTGATCCGGACCGGATTCAAGTGGATCTGGTCCTACACTTGCAGTTTTCTGGTTTTCACGAATTCGCTCATAACTTTATGCTCCGGTGTGGGATTTACGCGATTTTGTTGTCTACGCGAAGATCTTGAAGTGCTCTTTCCAATGGTACAATCTTGTACGATTTGAATCTCTGTAGAGAAAGTTATTGATGTCGCAACATGAGTACCTCATCCAGACTTCTCCTTTAACGCTCCAAATAGCTCTTTTTCGAGTCCAATCATCTTCGAAACCTGTAATCTGCTAAACTAAAGTACAACCGGGTTTTGTATCCTAACACATCTAGAATGCCTATGAATGCATGTGATTATCCTGTAAAACCTAGACAGACTCTCATAAAAATATAGAGAAAAATAGGAGTTATCAGTCATCTTGCCCATCAAACAAGACTAGCAAGATTCAAGAGACTCAAAGTCAAATGAATCTAAAAGACCTTCATTATGAAGCTTCTGAATGCGCTTTTGCAGATTCCCTCGTATACGAAGTATCTGAAGGACATCCTAACCAAGAAGAGGATCGTTGAGAAAGAAATTGTTGCTATTACTGCCGAATGCAGCGCTCTGATCCAACACGAGCTTCCGCTTAAGCAGTCCGATCCAGGTAGTTTCTCAATCCCTTGTAAATTGGGTAATATTCCTATCCATCGTGCACTTTTGTGATTTAGGAACCGGCATCAGTCTTCTTCTATTATCGATCTTCAAGAAGTTGAATGTGGGTGAGCTAAACCCACTAGAATGACTCTTTAACTTGCCGATCGTTCCGTTAAATACCTTGTTGGGATACTTGAGGATGTGCCATTGAAAGTTGGGAACTTCTATATCCTGGTTGACTTCGTGGTTCTCGACATGGACGAAGACTATAAGGTACCTATTGATACGTGTGTACCGAGTCTAATATATAACCCGATTCACAACTCACCGCAAGGATACAGATCGTCGTAACACGGGATCGAACGCAAGGACCGGTAGCTAAATCTAAACCTAAATCGATACTAAATCAAAGCGAGCAAGCAAGTAATGGTGGAAGTATGTGGAATCTAAACTAACTAAAATAAGAAAGCAAATAAAAACGTGTAACTATCAAGCAAAGATGACCGTGGGTGTCGGGACCGTATTCGCGTGTATGGGTATATGCTAAGCATGCGAGAATCACGATATTGAATCTGTATTCGGGAATCGTCAAACAACAAAAATAGAGAAATCACCTCCCGGCATATAACTCACTATCTAAAGTTCTCTAAATCCATATCCCTATGTGATTTATCAAACTAGATGCATGGAGAACACTATTATCAATCCTAGATCGATCAAACCATATTCCTATGTGAATAATACGATCTATTCTATTGATTTCGATCCGAAACTAAACCCATATTCCTATGTAGTTCAGAATCTGAAATAATTGGCCAAGGGGTCAGCAAACACCAATCGAATAAAGCACAAATCGATAAAATCGAAACAAATCCAAATCGCAACCAAGTTAGGGTTCAAACATACCCAAAACACAAACGAATCCCTAACCCACAGCCGTGGATCTACTCACGGTTCATGGAAAAACACTGAGCAAAACCAGAAACATAAAGAAAAGAGGGAGAAGAAAGACTCATGTCGACAGCAAGCGATCTTCACGTTCCAACTCTCCTTCTTCTTCCCGAAATCCCGTAAAACTCTTATTTCTCTCACCAAAGCTCTCCGAAGTCTGTATAAAGTTTGTCTCCTCCTCTTGGACGTCTGTAGGCTCTTTTTATAAACCCTAGGCGGCGCCCCCGAAGTTCTATTCCCATCAAAACTCTAAAAATTCGAATCTGGGTTTTTTCTGGGTTTTGACTCGGACCGAGTCAGTACTCTGACTCGACCGAGTCAAAAATCAGTACTCTGACTCGACCGAGTCAAAACGGGACTATTAAGAATTCGGTCCAGCCCATTCTTCTGACTCGGGGTATCTGACTCGGGGTGTCTGACTCCAGCCGAATCAAAAAGGAAGCTCTTAACGTATTTCACCCTTTAGCTCCAGATTGCTCCCGTTTTAGTCGAAATCGCGTCCGAGACCTGTAATCCTATAAAAACACAACCAAACCGAGTTTTGTGGCCTAACGCGCCTATAATGCCTACAAATGAACATGATCCTCATATAAATCCTATAAAAACGTCCAGGAAATATAGAGAGAATTAGGAGTTATCAAATCCCCCCAGACTTAAACCTTTACTCGTCCTCGAGTAAAGAACGAAGGAATAAAATCTGCAAAACAGGGATGACGAACATCAAATAGCGTCATCATGAAACTCAAAAGTGAAACATCCATCCAATGCTAGCTTCCTGTGATTCGTACCCAAACCGGTCTACTATGATCTTCCTACCAAAGACTAATCTACCTAGCCATGGGATTTAGACTTAAACCTTTGCTCGTCCTCGAGTAAAGAACGAAGGAATAAAATCTGCAAAACAGGGATGACGAACATCAAATAGCATCCTCATGAAACTCAAAAGTGAAACATCCGTCTAATGCTAGCTTCCTGTGAATCGTACCCAAACCGGTCTACTATGATCTTTCTACCAAAGACTAATCTACCTAGTCATGGGACTTTTATTGCCACCTAGAACCCGTTAGAATCTCTACATCTCACCAAGCCTATTTCTGAACCTATCCTTATCTCAACTTAGCCTTTTCGATCTAAGTTCTACATACCTGTATTTTTTACCTTTTTGTAGGATTTTTCTATCAAACGCACGCATCTCGGGTTTCTAGGACGTTGAAGTCGAAGGAAACATGAATGCAACTAATGCAAAGTGATATGCAAAAGTGAAAAATTTTCCTATGTCTATATGCCATGACAAAATGCACCTAAACTAAATGCAAACCTAAGTAGATAGACCTGAATGGATGAAGGATCTATCCACCCCCCAGACTTGAACCATACACCGTCCACGGTGTAGACTCTCGCCCGGAAGAATAGAATCGACAATAACGTATGAAAAGAACCAATCAGAGGGATAAAGAAGGCTTAGCTCTGCGAAATTCGTTTGCTCGCAACGAAGTTAACTCACGTCAAACGCAAGAGCTCTCACACACTCTATGAATTGGAACCTATCCAACGTTGTCTCTCGGAGCTCATCTCTCGTGTGCCTGTGTTAACGCTCATAGAACAACAAACGTTATCCGAACAAAAGCATAATAGCAATGCACTCCGAAAGATCCAAAATACAATCATGGTCTCTACCACCTATGCTACAAAGAAAAAGAAAAGAAAAATTACCTAATACTCGGGTTGCCTCCCGAGAAGCGCTTGTTTAACGTCATTAGCTCGACCTATCTTACTCAAATGATGGGAGGGTCTGAGAGGCGAAGATAATCGATCTTTCGCCACCCTGGATGTTGAGCATTAAGCGCATCTTTTGTACCTCGTGGACGCTTGAGCACTACAAAAAACACTCATATTTTCAACGGAAATATCCGTCGCAATAAAGAGGAAATTCCGTCGGTATATTCGGTTTGCGACGGACATCGACGGAATAAGTTTCGTCCGTTAATGGTTGTCGCAAACACATCCCGGTCGTGCATCCGTCGCATACTTGCGACGGAAAAAGCCGTCGTAAGTCAGTCGTTTTTAGCGACGCAATATTCCACCGGGAAACGCGACGGACTAATCGCCGCAATCTAGTCGATATCACCGACGAAAACTCCGTCGTTTTTCCATGGTAAACGCGACGGAAATTCCGTCGTTCAGTCGTCGCGCTGACCGACGGAATCTCCGTCGTAATTCCGTCGGATAGTGCGACGGATCGTCCATCGCATAATAGTCGCAAAGAGGGACGGGAGGATTGGTCAGATAATAGTCGCAAATTAGCGACGGCTTATAACGACGGAGGTTTCCGTCGGTATATTACAGAGACGGGTTTTCCATCGCTAATAGCTACGGAAAGCGACGGAAGATTTCCGTAGGATTATTCCTTATGCGACGGATTATTCCGTCGCATAAGTAATTTTATTCGAAAAAAAATAAAAAAAAATCGTTTAAAAAAAATAATTATACATTTGAAAATTGTTTTATATATTACAAATTGAAAAAAAAAACCGAAATTATTTTATATATTACAAAATTGAAATCTAACGAAATAAATTGTCCGGAAAATCATCGAGGTTTTGGGGATGTTGCTCGTCTTGATGAACCGATGGATCGGGATTGACGGCGGGACTCGGAGCAGACGAACCGGCGGAATCGGTCGGAGGCATAAAACGTTGCATCATCTCCTCTAACCGAGCGATCTTCGCCTGAGCTGCATCAAACTGAGCAATCTTCTCCCGAGCAGCTACAAGTTCCGCAGAAGTCTCCTCGTGTTTTCTCTTCAGCTCCTCGACTTCACGCGTCAGAGATACATGACGTACCACAGACGACGAAGATGCGTCACCACCCCCGAGCTGACTCGCCAACGCACCAATCCCGTAAATCCGACCTTTCGCATCGGGAGGAACGACCTTCAAAACAATATGTAAATAATATTTAAACTCTAACATATTATATTATTTTAAATACAAAAATTACCTCGAGATACAAGCTGTTGATTTCCTGCGGAGTCAATTGCGTTGAACCGCTGCTCTCGTCCATCGTCATTCGATCGGTAATCTTCGATTGAATGGCCTCTTCAATTTCTTGGGCACGATGATCTACGTGCGTCCCATCCGATCGACGATGCTGTCTTGTAAGACACGCAGAGTAGACGGTTGAACGCCTTCTTTCTCGGCCTAAAAAAGTTATACAAAAATATTAGTAAAATTTAAAAACAAATAAATCAATTTTCACAAAATACTTACAATATTGAGAGCAACTTTAGCAAACGATCTTCTCCCCGCAGTGTGAGTTCCTGGGGCACGGTCGGAAGCAGACTTCGCCTTTCGATTCGTCGACGCGATCCGACTCTTCTCTTGAGATTCCTCTGAATCCCATATTACCTCCAGCTGCGCCCAGATGTCTAAACTAATCCAGTCCGGCTTCTTCCGCAAGAATTTCAACCTATAAAGGTTATCTCGCAATCTCGCACCGAGACAATCCTTCCACGCACGATGGACGACATCATGCACAGAAGGATCCCAGTAATAAGATTGCTTTAAACAATATGTGTTAGTTATTTAATACTAAAAAAGATATATTAAACAAAAAACGAACAAGTTAAGACAATACCGCAAAAGCAGCAAACCATCGTGCCAAGACATCTTGCGGGACCCGAGAGATGCTACGCCATGGGCCATGATAATCAGAACGGTAGATCGTTTTGATACTCTCAACCAACTGATCATTCCGATCAAACCTATGATATTCAAAAACATTAATTAAGTTGAACGATGGACGATTTTGATCGGAAACGAAAGTGGTGTTAGAATATACTTACCACAACGCTCCATCAACCGAATCAAGATTGATACAAGGTTGTTGTCGTCGACTCTCTGATGCCAGGATCTCTCTAAGAGAGATCCCAGCATAAACAGAGCGATGGCCGGAACCTCCGGCCTCAAATGAAGCCTGGGGAGTACCCTGGCCAGTGAAACGTTGATCCAACTGCAGTGGATCAGGGGTTCGTTGACTTTGGATCGCTGGTGATCCAACACCACGACCACGGAATCGAGTGTTGTTCCCGCTATGACTACCAGAACGAGAACCCGAACCACGTCTTTCGTGACTCATCTGCAAAGTTGGTTAGAATATCGTATCAAATAGGTAAAAAAACTCTAAACCCCAAATGAAACCCCAAATACTAACCCTAACCCTAAACCCTAAACCCCAAACGAAACCCCAAATACAAACCCTAACCCTAACCCTAACCCCAAATACTAACCCTAACCCTCACCCTAACCCTAACCCTAACCCTAACCCTAACCCTAACCCTAACCCCAACCCTAACCCTAACCCCAAATACTAACCCTAACCCTAACCCTAACCCTAACCCTAACCCTAACAGATCCGAAACACTAACAGATCTGAAACCCTAACAGATCCGAAACCCTAGCACATCCGAAAACCTATCCGGGAACACATACGAAACACATCTGTACACGTACAGAACGAAACACATACGAAACACATACATCCGAAACCCTAGATTCATAAACCCTAACCGTCGGCCTTCGAAACGAAACGAAACGAAACACGTACAGAACGAAACACATACGAAACGAAACTAAACAAACCGAACAGATCGAAACACAAATTAACCGAACAGATCGAAACATATAAAAGAATCCGAAATCTAAAAAACTTACGGCGGAGAGAGCCGAACAGATGACGGGAAAGGCGACGAATACGGCGGTGAGAGCGGCGACGAACACGGCGGTGCGAGTGACGACGAATCCCGGCGGTGAGAGCGGCGAGAGAGATTGAACACGGCGGTGCGAGTAAACTTCGCGATTCTGAGGGAAAGATTGAGTTCTGGCTGTTTACTAAATTCTGCGACGGAAATATCCGTCGGCAATGGGTCGGAATCATTAAACGCGTCGGTGACACGTCACCAAACGCGACGAAATTTCCGTCGTAACATAAAGCAAATTATTTCAGTGACGGATAAGCCCGTCGCGTTGAGTCGGAATTATTAAACGCGACGAAAATTCCGTCGTGTTTGTGCGTTTCCCGAAAAACTCTGCATGATCTGACGTTTCTGAACCGTGCGACGGAAAGCTCCGTCGGTATGTGTCGGAATCTCAGACCAATAGCGACGGAATTTCCGTCGTAATTGTGCGTTTCCCGAAAAACTCTACATGATCTGACGTTTCTGAACCGTGCGACGGCAATGTCCGTCGGTATTTGTTGGAATCTCAGACCAATAGCGACGGAACTTCCGTCGTAATTGTGAGTTTCCCGAAAAACTCTGCATGTCTGACGTTTCTGAACCGTGCGGCGAAAATTTCCGTCGGTATGTGTCGGAATCTCAGACCAATAGCGACGGAATTTCCGTCGTTATTGAGCGTTTCCCGAAAAACTCTGCATGATCTGACGTGTCTGAACCGTACGACGGAAAGTTCCGTCATATTCCGTCGGTGTTTCGTTATTATTAAAAAAAATAAAAAATATAAAATACAAATATTATTCAAACGATCCATTTTCTGAAGTGCCGGTCGTTTCTTCATTCGAATCTTCGGTGTTGTCCGCGTTATCATCGTTTCCAACCTCTAACTCCTCAAATTCTGCATTCGGTAATGTTAGTCTCTCAATATTGATTGGGTCATCAAGTCGTACAGCAACCCTTATATCTTCGTCTTGAAGAGGAATGTGGTCGGAATCTTTATCGTTAAATATAGTGCCTCTTGGGGTGATCTTCACAACAGCCCTCCAGTCGACATCATTTCTTCGCTTTACCTTCTTCGGGTATGGTACAAAACAAACCTGGTCAGCTTGAGATGCCATAATAAATGGATCATACTTTGCATATCGACGAGTATAACAGATGTCAACGATGCCTGATTTGTTGATCCGGATTCCGCGACCATGTGTTGAATCAAACCAATCACATCTAAACATCATTACTTGTAAGCCGACATGTCCAGGATACTCAAGCTGTATAATTTGTTGTAAAGTACCATAAAAATCTTGTTCATCACCGGAAGCGCAGTAGTTCGAGCCTTCAACACATACTCCGTAGTTGAGGGTTGAACGATGTTCTCCGTGTTCATATGTATGAAAAACATAACCCCTGGTAAAGAAAATCGGCCAACATTTGAGTCGACGAAGTGGACCTTGCACTAATTCGTATAACCATAACGGATGATCTTCGGATGACGACTCGATCTGCCAAAAAAAAAAAATTTATTAGTTAATGATACGTACACATATATTATGAAATATAGATGTCGTAATATAACTTACATATTGTTGCAACCATGTTGCAAATCCATTCTCTTTAATCTTACTCAGTTCTTCATCAGATATTTGATGACCATAAGTATTATATACTTCATCGTCATAAACCCTGACACATACAGTAAAAATATTATTTACGTAGGAGAGTATATATATTCTCTATATACAGTAATTTGTGTAATGTACTAACCTCTCAAACGGTAGAATATATTCACAATTCAACAATACGTAGGTATGAATGACATGGTAATCTCTGTCAGATAGATATGAATCAGTCGATTTACCACCACATCGCCCTTTTCTGTAGAAAATCTCAGGTATGTCTACATGCATCGAATAAGAGGGTCCATCATCGCACTGGAATGACCGATTCTGACTTCTGTTCTTTGTCAAAACATGATCTTCAAAGTAGTATGATGTGAAGAATGATATCTCCTCATTTATATATTGTTCAGCGATTGATCCTTCCACAAAAGCCTTTTGTTTCGCCTTTTTCTTCAAATGGTACATGAACCGTTCGAACGGATACATCCATCTAAATATACAGAAAAATAATCATTTCAAATACAAATATGAATTATTAATTTATTCATGTATATTAAATAATTAAACAAAAATATATACCTAAATTGAACTGGTCCCCCTAGTTCAGCTTCTCGTGGTAGGTGGATCAGTAAATGTTCCATGACATCGAAAAAGGATGGTGGAAATATCTTCTCTAGATTGCACAAGACTAAACTGATATTTTGCTTCAAGATCTCGACATCTTCAACTCGTAACGTCCGACTACATAACTCATGGAAGAATATGCCGATTCCTAAAAGATAAATCAAAATAAAAAAAATTATGTGGAAGTATAACCGTAATATAAAAAATAATACATAGATATATCTATAAAAAATGCTTCAGTAATTAATTAATTCAAACCTGATAAAGCTTCGTGTACATTCTGTTGAAGTATATCGGCAAAGGCAATAGGAAGTAAGCGCTGCATGAAGACGTGGCAATCATGACTTTTCATACCTATCAATTTATTTCCTTCAATATCAACACATCGAGAGATGTTTGAAGAATATCCATCTGGAAATTTCACATCTTCTTTCAACCATTTGAAGAAGTTTCTCTGAGCTTCTCCAGAAACCCGAAATATCGGGACGGGTGCCTTTCCATCCGATGTCAACTCTAGTTCTTTTCGCGAGCAAATTAATTTCAGATCCTTTCTTGAATTGACATTGTCCTTTGATCTTCCGGGAACATTCAGTACCGTATTAATAATGTTATCGAAAAAATTCTTTTCGATATGCATAACATCAAGATTGTGTCGTAACTTATGATGTCTCCAGTAAGGCAATTCCCAAAATATGCTTTTTTTGTGCCAGTTGTGAAAATTACCATACCCTTCTATCTGCAAATGGCCATTCCCGCCGACGTCTGCTGTTTTTGCTAATCCATATGAACTCACGCAATCTTCCAGTCTTTCAAATAGTATTTCATCACCTGTAAGCTCAAGGGGAGCAGTGTCATTTACGACCTTATTCTTACGAAAATTCTTCTTGTTACGCCGTAACACATGATTGCTCGGGAGAAAACGACGATGACAATCAAACCAGCACATCTTTCTCCCGTTCTGCAACCAAAATGAATCAGTCTCATCCGTGCAATAAGGACAAGCTAGCCGCCCATGTGTTGTCCAGCCAGACAACATTGAATACGCTGGAAAATCACTGATGGTCCACATCAATACGGCACGAAGTAAGAAATTTT